GACTGGCCTCAAATCCACTATGTAGCCATGGTGACATTCCTCATGCTTCCCCATCCCAATGCTGGGATTGCAGGTATCGAGGGCCATGCCAACTTTATGGAGTGTTGGGAGATAGAACTCGTGGCTTTGTACATAGTAGAAAGCATTGTATCAACTGAACGATAACCCTAAGTCCTCAAATTAGAATCTAAGGATAAAATAGTAATAATAAATTCAGGAATGCTTTGTTGGCTTATTTTTCACTTCAAATTTAAAGATACCATTTTTTAAAAAATGCATTTTTGAAATTCCAGAACCAAACATAAAATTTGATGTTGTAGTTATCCCTTCTATGACATTAAAAATAAAATTCTACCCCATGAAGAACATGAAAAAAGGCATCAAGAATTTATCCAAAAAGAAGCAAAACTAGTCATACACACTTATTATGAAATAATATTCCACTGCACTGTCAGTATTTACATAACCAACAATGTAGGGTGTTTTTATTTGCAATTTGTAAGAGCCTATGCATGCTTAAATTAGTTGTACCAAAAGTGGTACACTCAGTTCAATTTATTTTCTGAAATGGTTTGGTGTTTTACTACAGATCTTAGTAATTACATATTGGAGTAAAGGTGATTTTTATCAACAATGTCCAGGGATTGATACCAATTCAACAGTCAAGGTAATAAGTCACCTTGATTTAAATCTCACTAGCAAGTAAATCTTCAACTAATATAAACTGAATCTTATATTGATTTCACTCAACTACTTTGAAGCACACAGTCAGCGATGCAGTGCACTGATTTTACCTGCAAGGAATGCCTCCTTTAGAGTAGATAGCTGCAAATGCAGAAGGGGCTCGTGACTGTTCACCGAACTGAAATTCAAAAACAAGAATATCACCACTAACTCCGGTTCCCGATACCTTCAATTTTAATCCTGTTGAGATGAGAGGTTAAAAAAAAAAACAAAAACAAAAATACCCTGACTTCCCAACCCCCACTGTGTTACTTTGTGCACATCTCTGGCTCAGCCACATGACTGGAAAACGCGCGCACACACACACACACACACACACACACACACACACACACACACACACACACACACACACAAAACCAAGCTGTGGAGTTATTTTTCATCAATCTCTAGTTTGGCTCAAAGCATTGCAGATAGCTGGAACTATACAGAGCAAAATATCTTTCCACTTTCTCTGCCAGTCTGAATCTTCAAAATGAGGACTAAATAAAGAATTAGGGAATTAAGGATAGGAGAAGTAGAGATTTGCTACCTATCACTATATGTCCCACATGTCCATCGGCCAAGCATAGATGTGTAGAGATCAGGGAATCTATTTAACTTCTTCAAATTGACTTTATGCTTTTATACAACAAGGGATTAAGCTTGGTAGAGTCAAAGGTCAGGAACCAGTCTTACAAACATATAACTGAATGCATCTTCCAGATTATAGAAGTGCTGCTAAGGACAGCGAGTACATTTATTTTAGCCAGCATGGTATGTCCTGCATGCCCTTCAGCCAAGTGTAGATATGTAGAGGTCAGAGAATCTGTGTAACTTCTCCAAACTGGCTTTATACTTCTATTAAACAAAGGATTATATTATGATTTCTGGTGAACTGAACTTGTAGAACATAAAGGAATAGTTGGAATTTTATGTGACTAGAGTAGCACATGAATAATCAATTCCATAGCAACTGAATAAAAGCTAGTTCACCAACATTAGGAAGCAGGATAGAAAATTAAAAAGCTGACAAACAATTAAGAACATAACAAAATTAACATAACTAGCTCAAAACTAGCAAAAAGGAAATCCACGAGAGCATTCAGAATAGTTAAATTATAATCAGCTAAATGCCTATTTCTCGAATAGTTAAACTGTAATCAGATAAAGTCCTATTTCTTGTGTAAATCTACTGCCTGAGGAATCTCTACTCACAGGGTTAATTGTTTTAGGGTTGAGTTTATCACTTGGCCGAGGATGAACCCTTCTTGCAGCCTCTGGAGAACTGGTTAATGAGGAGGATTTGCTCCGCTGACCTGTCATCCTGTGTTTTACTTGTGCACTTGAGGATGTCCTTTGATCATAATTACCTAGGGAGAAAAAAAAATCAGATTAGTTCAAAAAACAAATAAGCAACAGAAACTCTCCCTAACACAGAACACAGACTGTATCATTAACAAACCTGGCCTCTCCCTTTGAAAAAGCAAAGTTCTGTACCTGTTGCTCTGTTTCTCAACTTCACACCTCCAGGGTACTCCGATTTCTGCATGGCTTCCCTTTCACTCCTGCAGTTAGATGAAATGATTTCAGAATCTGTTGATCTGTCACAAACACAAGACCAAAATGAATAGTTATTTTCAGGAGTGGGTGTGGAGGCCCAAGCTTGTCATCTTTTTTTCAATAGCTTTCAACCTTATTTATTGAGGCAGAATCTTTCACCGAGCCCAGAGCTCCCCTTATTAGCTATTCAAGAGATTCCCTGTCTGTGTCTCCTAAGTGCTGAGATGAAAGATAGGCCACCACAACCACGAGGATTCTGGGCGATCAGATTCTTTACCAGCTGAACTATCTCCTCTGTCCTATTTTCTAATTTAAATGAGTTTAAAAACCAACGAATCTCTTCATTTGAAAAGCTTTTAAAGTCTAGAAAATAGAGCTTCCAAAGTTTTTAAGTATTACATGTAGTTTGAGTCATGTGTGTATTCACATATGCCTGCTAATGTGTGAAAGTGGGTGTGTTCATGGAGGCCAGAGGTTGGCATTAGGTATCTCTTGTTAATGCTCTCCACCATTTTGTGAACCAGGCTTTCTCATTGAACCTGGAGCTTATAGATTCTACTAGGCTGGTCTGCAAGCTCCTAGGATCTTTTAAAAATAATAGTTGCTTGATTTTTAGACAGGGTCTCATTATATAGTTCTGGGTGGCCTATAGCTTGCTTTGTAGACCAGGTTGGACTTGAACTTAGAGATCTGCCCGCCTATGTTTCTGGAGTGCTGGGAGTGTTGAACGGCATGTGAGAACATGCCTGGCAAAAATAATTATTTTTAAGGTATTTTTGTTTTTATTTACTTATTCTTCTCTCACACAATACATCCCAACTGGTCACCCCTCTCTCCACTCCTCCCAGTTCCAACTCACCACCACCATCACCACCACCACCACCACCATCTCCACTCTTCTCCAGATCTACTGCTCCTCGGTTTCCCTTCAGAAAAGAACAGGCCTCCCAGGGATATCAATGGAACATGGTATAACAAGATACAGTAAGAATAGGTACAAACTCTCATATCAGGACTGGACAAGGCAACCCAGTAAGAGGAAAAAGGTCCCAAGATCAGGCAAAGGAGTCAGAGACACCACCATTCCCACTCTTTGAAGTCCCACAAAAACCTCAAGCTAAACAACCACAACAAATATGCAGAGGACCTAGAGTGAAACCATTCAAGCTCCGTAACTGCTGCTTTAGTCTCTGTGAGCCCTTATGAGCTCACTTAGTTGATTCTGTGGGCCATGTTCTCCTGGTGTCCTCAAGCTCTCTGGCTCCTTGCAATGCTTCCCCCCACTTCTTTGGCAGGGATCCTGGAGCTCTGTCAAACGTTTAGTTGTGGGTCTCTGCATCTGCTCCCATCAGCTGCTGAAGGAAGCCTTTCTGATGATAATGAGGCTAGGCAGGGATGGCTGAGTGGTTGAGAGCCCGGGCTGCTCTTTCAGAGGTCCTGAGTTTAATTTCCAGCAACCATATGGTGGTTCACAACCACCTATAAAGGAATTTGATCCCCTCCTCTGGCATGTAGGAGCTTATGTATATGACAGAAGAGTTTATGTATAAGACAGAGCTTACATAAAATACATAAATAAATATTTAATCAAAAAGTTAATTGTTAATGGCATCACTCTTTATTTTAAAAGATGAGTAAATGTGTTTGGTTAAAAAAAATATATCCACTGACAAGCACGGACTGACGTAGTTGATGAAAGAAAAAACCTTTCTCTCGCCTTTAGACTACTTTTTCTTTAAATGACTTTAGGTGGGTGGTGTAAAGGGGTAGGGACCAGAAGAAATGAAGAGGTGAAAAACTTTGTTAAATGCTGTCCAAGTAACCCCTCGTTTCTTTCTTAGAATTCTAAGTAGACATCGGAATACAGAAATCCACTAAATGTGGAACGCCTAAATTATGTCACAATGTCAGAAGGAAAAACAACAAACATAATACAAATCCCCTGTCATTGAGCCTCTGCCTAAAAGGGACTGGTGGCGCCTGTATATGCTAGGACACCACTGCATCTTTGTTTTACAAGTACCAAATTTCAGTCCCCACCTCCCCCAGTTTAAGACCACTGGACTAATCTAATCGTCCGTCACCTTTCTTCTACTCTCTAATTAGAAACCTAGAGAATCTCAAAAAGTTCAAAAGGCGCTCAGCTAAAGCAGCTGGGTCCCGTCTGCAAAGGTCCTGCAAACCCCAAAAGGGCAACCCCATTCCCTTTGTTATCACGAAGTAAAAATCTGCTTCCCATCATCAAACCCACCCACTTCGAAGCACCTAAGTTCACTTCAGCTCCAGGGTGTGGCTAAAGTTGAAAATGAGGGAGTGTGTCGACACCGCTAGAGGAAAAAAAGCTTTGAAAATCGGGAGACAGGGTGAGCGGACTGCAGTTAGAACACTCTTTAAGTTCCCAGAGCTCCTCTGGAGTCCCTAGCAACAAGCTCCGGCGGCTCTAGCTACGGGACGCCAACCTGGAAGGGCCCCCACGCCGAGACCCCGCCCTGTCGCCCGCACCTACCGCCTTTCACGCCGCCCCGGCGCTCGCGCCGCCCCCGGTGGGGCTTCCGTCCGGCCCTCCGAGCCCAAGCCAGCGGCTCCCGCAGCGGGTAGCCGTGATCCAGGAAACCGGCTTCAAGTAGCAGACACATCCGGCGCCGCGCGGTGACGTCACGCGCGCGACGCCCGTTCTAAACCAATCACAGGGAGGCCACAGAGGCGTTTGGGAGGTTGCCGGGCAACGACTTGGCATTCTAAGGGTTTCTGTCCAGCAAGAGCTCCGGTAAGCGTCTCAGGTGACAAAGGAGCCCCTGGGAGACCTTAAAGGAAGTTTAAGTTTTAGTTTCCACTGAAGATTCGCTGATTCTCTCTAGACGATGATTCTCTCTGGTTCTCCAGCCCGGTTTCTCTCCATCTATATGCTTATCTTGTAGCCAACACTGGTGCCTTAGGTACTGACCACCATGAGTTTTTAGCTTCCTGTCATACTAATTCCTTTCCTGCCACATAGTACAACTCCATAAGCTGTTTCATTCAACTGCAAAATGCTTCCCTAAATTTGTAGCTATAAACATATTCTTTTGTCTTTTGGATTGCATTCATGAAATTGGTGCTGGAGGAGAATGTGTTCCTTTGCACTTCCATATGGCTATAGAACTACATCCTTATCAACACAGAGAGAGAGAGGCTGACAGAGACAGAGAAACACTGGGCTGGCTGTGGGCTTTTGAAAAAACTCAAAGCGCAGTGGCACACTTTCTCTAAAAAGGCCACACCTATTAATCCTTCTAAATCTATCAAAGAGTTTTACTCCCAGGTGACTGAGCATTCAAATATATGAATGGGGCCATTCCTATTTAAAACACCACATATACTCAGGGAGCCTATAGGGCCGGATATATTTCGATGTGAAAGTCACATCTCCTTTTGCACAGATACCAGTATCTGTGTTTACCCTCTTGCTGATCATATGAGAAGGTGAGAGCCTGGGGAGATGATTAGTTCATAGTGTTTGTGTTGGGGGGGGGGGGCGTTCAACCAATAGGGTTTGTGCACATAAAAGAGGAGAAAGACTGCTCAGCTTTTCTCCATGGAAGGATGCTGTGAAATAGCACCATCTATGAACCAGAAGGAAAGTCCTCACCCAACACAGAATCCATTGGTTCATGCCTTAATTTTAGACTTCTTAGCTTGGTAATGAGAAAAAAAAATATGGGAAATAAATCTTCCATTTGTAAACTACCCAGTTTATGGTGTCTAGTTAATAGCAGGTTGAACAGGCTGAGACACTTTGTATATGGCCATTCCAGGCCTAAAAATAAAAATCTCAAAGATACTTACTCTAGATTACTGCATCATGTGGGATTCCTATGCCTTCAAAAATAAAAACTCTTAAAATGACCTTATTGTAGTTTGTGGAAGCCTATTATATGGCATCAAGAAGTATGTGGCTAGTGAAAGTATGCCATATTAAATACACAGGATGATATTTTACTTATTATTTTGAATCACTTGTGATTTTTTTTGGTTGATTGGGTTAATTATAAGTTAATTAACAAATATTTTAAAAGAAAGCCTTACAAAAAACAAGCAAACAAAAAAACCTCTTCTCTCTTGTATAAATTACAGACAATTATCTCCCCTAACTATTCCCAGGCTCTATCTTTGGAAAATGTGATACAAAATGATTGCCACTCTTCCTTGTCAGAAGCAGTTAGATATCATAATCATAAATTAATTAAAAGTAAATTTGTACATATAAACAATTTAGCTATGATAGAGACCTCTCAGGTGTTAGTAAAGGAAGTCAACAGAGACAACCAAATAAAGCCACAGTGTTCAATGGTTAAATAGCCCAAGACATATGGGAATGTTTACATTTTCACAAAGGCACACTCTGAAAAAGTTACAAGAAATAGGTATTTATAGACCCCAGATCCAGGGTACTACCTTCTCGAGGGGACGCCCCAAGAACCCAGACTCCGATCCAGTTGATGCAACAGCAAGAGGTATTTATTAATGCGGCGGTACAGTCGGGCAAACTCAGTTCCAGAGAGCAAGAGTCGCGCCTATTGCAGTCACATGGGTACTTTTAAAGAAAAAACCCACAAAAGCCATAAGATTACAATTCCCATACAATTTCGTTTCACAAGATCATGGTCTGATCACAGAGTGGGTACAGTCACGTCCGCATGTACATTCTTCCTGAAACCTCAAGGGGGGTATCAGGGCAGGAGTGGAGTTTACACAAAGGTCATAGTGGTCCTTCCTGGAACACTTGCAATTATCCCAGTCACAGTTGAGCGCATCTCTTAACCGAGATCTCTTTACATTGTTACATTGTGGCAGGGGTGGTTGAATAATGGCTGAGTCAGGTTACCCTTGGTACTAGTTTTCTTTTTGGTTCCTTATTCTCCTGGGGCTTGGGGGGTGTAAGCCTAAAGGGTTAGGGTCTTTCAGTATTATGATGTAAAGTTTTATATGGGGATTCAGGGGTATGGAGAAGATGTTGATGTGTAGAGGAGAATCAAACAAAACTATTGGTATTTTTTTTTTGGCCATAAGGAAACTTAATCATTGGTAAGCCAATAAAGAACACATAGTTTGAAAGCAGGTACATGGTATGGATGAATCAAGCCATTCCCAGAAGTCATAGGTTATTAAACAAAATTACAGTGCCATAAGATTTATCTCAAGAAGTATTGTTGGAAAAGGAGGACTTTGAGGCTCCCAAACAACGCAGGTGATTGTCACTCTTGTTCACCCAGAACTGGTTGGTATTGCCTTATTGCTGAAGATAGCATATGTCTTGGTCACAGGACTTAGAGAAACCACGCCAAAACTTGTCTAGAGGCTTCCTTCCTGAGGGCTATCTCTAATGATCCCAGAATGTGTTGTGTGTTGTGTGGCCTATTTGGAGTGGGGGTGGGCATTATGCTCAACAACCTTATTTAGCTGTAGCTCTTCTGTACAGCACTGCCAACAAGCTGTTGGGACTGCTGGTGCTTAAATGAGGGAAAGGGGTCCTTCAGAATGAAGGAGGTTTCCTAGCCTCATGTGGGTTTTAACTCGGGTGTTAGGTGGCAGTTATATTAATCTCACAAAGAATTTGTACTGATTAAATGAGCTATACTGTTTTTTTATGAATTTGAAGAATGAATTTCATAGACCATATAAGGGTGAGTTGTAGAAGGAAGTTTTTTTCTTTAGGATTATTGTTGGGAACTTAGGACACACAGAGCAGATGTGAATCCTCAAAAATTCAGTGTCACTGAGTTGATAGTCTAGAGGGTTTTTTTAAAATAAGATTTATGGTAGGTATGGTGGTGAGGCATGGGGAGATAAGCTGTCCAGTGCAGGTGGCCCATCCATGAGCTGTACACATGCTTGTCATTCTGAGACACATCTTCATGCATAACTTTCAGACAGTGGAGTTTCTTAAGATTGAAAAAGGGGGAAAAAAAGATAGCAAGAAATGAGAGCAGGATCCAGAACCCAGTTCTGATATTTCTGCCTGACATAACTAAGGGTGTTTCAGGTTTTGGACAATCCCTAAACTGTTCAGCTAGTTTCTATCTCCTGATTTCCTTAGTGTAATAGTGGCAAATCTGTTATGGGGGCAACTAAACATTTTATATTTGGATTTGATGTCTGCGGCACAAGAGAAAATTAATATCTAGGACTATAAACCCTCTCACAATCCTATGGCAGGTCAGAGAACCTAGGGGAGGCTGCTGTTGTTGCTTTACTAAATGGGCATGATGTGCCTCTCAAGATGCGTTATAAATAACTATTTATGTCTAAAGAGTAATGTTGCTGTCATTTTGGCTTAAAGAAGTATCTTTTCATTGTGGTCAGTTGTTGTCAAGGTATGCAGAGTAAATGACTGTTGAATGCCTATCCATAAAAATGGCAGGGCTCAGGGAACGTCATGGTAAGGAGAGCAGAAATAATTTAAGAACTACAAGAAAGGAAAGGGGATCTGTGTACTCAGCTGTTTCAAGTTCCTAACATAAGGGACTGTAACTTTAAATTGTGAGTCAAATAAACCCCTTTCCTGTATATTGCCTTTGTTGGGGGATTTTTATCATAGCAACAGGAAAGGAAACTGTACGTGAAATTCTAAACAGTCTTAATAAATAAGAAACATAGAGCCAAATACATAGGTAAATAGCCAAAGAGATCCAAGAGTCATGACTACCTTATAATACCACCTCACGCAGTCACTTCCCCAGAGAGAGCTTTTAATGTCTGATTTCTCTTTTTATTGCCTTTCTGTTCTGCCTTCTCATTGGCTCTGAACCCAACTACATGACTTCCTCATCACTGCCTGTCTCTACAGACCTCCAGGTCTCTATGGTGGGTACTTGGATTTAAGGTTCGAGTCACCACACTTGGCTGTGTTCTTGACCACACAGAGATTCTGCCTGCCACGTGATCAGGTTAAGTGCATGTGCTATCCCTATCACAGAATAAGGGCTTCTGATTAATGGCTTGATTTTACCTCTGATCTCCAGGCAACTTTATTTATTAACATACAAATAAAATCACATTTCAGCACAAATAAAATATCACCATAGGAAACTAAAACTCAGCAAATTTCAAGCATACAGTCCACTGTTACTAAGCAGAGTTGTCATAATTTAGTTCTCAGTGTGTAAACTGCATGCTGCACAAGTATGAAAGTCCAGTGTCCAGATGGTCAGAACCAAAGGAAAGCTCGACATTGTAGCACCCTTCTGTACCCTCAGTGTTTCTATGGCAATATGCTAGAGAGATACTGGAGAATCCCCAATGGAGAACCCCCAAGCAAGATAGCTGGATACGCACCGTGGTGAACAAGAAACACTGCCTCAAACAAAGTGAAAGTTGAGGCCCAGAACTCAAGGCTGCTGTCTGACTTCTTCATAGGCACCATGACAGAACTTTGCCATACATATGAATATGCAAGCATGTACAAGTATAAAAATAAAATTGATTTAAGGTCATGGGAATCCATATAAAAGAGACTTCCAGTGGGAAGTTTATTCTCCATAAATATATTTTCTTATTCAAGCAAACCCCACAGAAAGCACAGAATACTTTTGTTAACCCATATTAAAACATATTGCATATTTAAACAAAAAACCCAAATATACAATGAACAATTTTTTGATTAACAATAACTTTCACAAGAAGCAAAATAAACGCATTGCTCACTTAACCAGGCAATTGGATCTCAAAGCTGCTTGAGCAGAAGGCAGTTTATGCTGTTCACTAAGCAAATTGAATGATAATATCCTGGAACTGTGTTGTGTTAGATTTGCTTATCAATGTAGCAAATACCCATACTTTGGGGGTAATTGAATGCACATTTATCCTGTAGTTCTAAGAGCTAAAACCTGAGTCTGATAAAGCTACATTAAAGGTGACTGTAAGGCTATGCTTCTTTCTAGAAGCTCCACAAGGTTTATTCCAATAGAGAAAATTTTGTTTGGCTTGATTGACACCATGAGGCCCCTCTCCTCTTACTAGCTTTAAGCTGAGGTCCTTTGCCAAAGTGTAGAAACTATTTTACTCTTACATTGCTTCTAATGACTCATGTATTAGTTTCAAACATGAATTTTTTCCTATAAAAAGTACCTGAAGTTTCAGAGCTGATAAAGGAAAGATACTTATTTTGCTCACAGTCAGAAAGGCCACCCTGTAGCTGTGTCCTAGATTGAGGAGCTACATCATGGCAGCAGCACACACAAAAGGAATAAATCACACAAACTTGTGCCTCCATCGTGGTAGTTAGCCCTATACTCTCTAGAGAGGAGACTAAAAAGCTCTCCATTCTGGAACCTAATCAAATAAAGGAGGAAATATTAAAGTAAGAGCTAGATAATGGAGTAACCCGGGAATCCAATCGATGAGAGAGAGGAGGGATTCTGCAGGCTGGGGACGTCGAGATCATGATGGGAAGACGTGCAGCCATGACCAGCCACACTAGTGGA